TATTATAGGTACAACCGGAACACAGAGAGACAATTGTTAAACAACGCAATTAATCCTTAACTGACGATGTTTTGTTCCTTTGTTTTACACCCGTTACATCACATTATCAAATATCACGATTAAACGCGTATGAGGGATTAATTGAATAATCAAAGAAAGATTGTAATCATTCGGTGGATAATGTTACGACAGTGAACAACATTCACACAGTATAAGAAAGATAAATTCCTTAGTATAATAGTATATAATAGTTAGATAAATCATATGTAACAGGTCGTCAGTTAAGAATCAATCAAACCGATCCACTCTCTGCTCGTTTTCCGAAAAGAAAACAAAGAGACGGAAGAACATCAGGTAAGAACGAGGAACACGCAACAGAGAGTAGAAGGCCAAAGAGAGATGGTAAATACAGAGTGAAATAGATAGATCCAAAGAGAAAATCTTTAGGCACACCCACACACATACACATACATTTATATATAATATATATAATATATATATGCGTAGAGCGCAAGAGTCTTTTTTTTTTTTTTTTTTTTATTTTAATTTATATTTCGTGAAGCAAATCGTAAATCCGAAACGTTAGATTTGCCGTGTGTACTATCGAACGCAAACGCAGACAAAGGTGACGCGACGATCCTCCCTCTCTCTTTCTTTCTTTTTCTTTTAGTTCCATTTTCGTTATTTTACTCATAACTTCGATCATTTGTTCGAACAACCGTCTGTATTTAAAGGGTAAATTCGTGTCGCTTGCTTTCTCCCTCTCTTTCCATCGTCGCATGATCGGTTTCTCTTCGTTTTCTTTTTTTTTTCTTTTTCTTTTCTTTTCTTTTCTTCGTCGTTTATCGATAATCAAAAAATAAGTTATCCGAATACTTTGTACTTGTCCAAGCCGATCGTGATGGTATACTAGACGCTGAAGCTCTTGGCACGGTATTCGATTTACGTAAAACAGGAAATCCGATCTCGTCGATCACCTTGCTGCTGCTGCACACGCCATACAATTCACACGGATAGACGGACTTCTTAAAATTGCTCGCTTCTCCCGTACGATTCGCGCGTTATCAATAATTAGAATATGTAATAATTACGTCGTAATTCAATATAGCAAATATATTATCACATTTAGATTGTATTAATGTTTAAGACCTTTTTTTTTTTTTTTTTTTTTTTTTT